CTATTTCTTGATAGAATCATTGATAAAATTCCTATTCTTAGTGGCATAAATTTATGTTCTGTTCTGGAATAAAATGACACTGAAAAGTCATATGATTTTGCAGCATCTAAATTTAGTAAGCAAAATTTTGTAGAATCAAAAATAGGGAAAACTTTCTTGATAAGCTTGGTTTACATAAAATGTTTGCCAAAGAAAGATACCTATGAAAAGGAGGAAAGGGGTGCCTGGGTAGCTCAGTGGGTGGAGCCTCTGCCTTCGGCTCCGGTCATGATCTCATGATCCTGAGATGGAGCCCCACATGGGGCTCTCTGCTCAGCAGGGAGCCTGCTTCCCCCACTTCTCTGCCTACTGTCTACTTGTGATCTCTCTCTCTGTCAAATAAAGAAATAAAATCTTTTAAAAAAATGAAAAGGAGGAAAAAGACATTAGTCATGAAAATATTTGTTATGAAATAGTCACTCATTTCAGTATTTTAAAAATTGGAAGTGAAAATATTCCACGTTAGCGGAAATTACCACATAGTACTACACCTGTAAAGACAGTATTTGTCAACCAAAACCACTATCGTCTCTTAAGAAGAGTAATTAAAGATGCCACAATTTCAAAAATAATTAACTGTTAAACTCCGCTTTGAAGTGCAGGCAATTTTATGAACACATCTAAAATAATTAGACCACATTGAAACATTCTTCATAAAAATATAATGATATTCTGTCAGTGAGAAATATGGCCACAAAATTTACTAATGTGATTATGTATCAGCAATCATAATTCTGCTTATGTTATTTTCTAATGTTTAGATAATCAATATGAAGTAGTTTTTGTGCTGTGGCACACATGAATTATTCAATTTTTGGTTTTTTAGAATGAATTTTAGTTGTGAAAATAACTTTTGAATAGGACTATTTTATATTTTATAGATCTACTGATGAAAACAATTTGTTGACCAATAAATAAACATTTCAATGACATATAATTTTTATTTTTAGCCCCATTTTAAGCTTAAAATTACCCCAATTTGGATGAAAACTACCTGGTCACTCTTGATATACCAACTTTCAGAACATCATTATTTTTCATATATATGATGCTTTGGAACCCAGTAAGGTTCTCCATTTAGCTTTAAAAACATATCTTAAAAAACTATTAGGAGGTTCTGAACTCTGGAGAATCCATGAAGTGAGGTGTCTTGTTAGTCCCATGTGATAATAATCTCTGAAGTTGTTGGGGATTGGAAAAGGTTTACTACCAGTTTCTTGTCCTATGAGAACATGGTGTGTAATAACAAAAGGCAATATTATTCAAATCATAAGAACAAGTCTGAGAAGTGACTCTTAGCCCCCAGAATGGTGAGGGGAAGGGTGAGGTTTCTGGAATGAGGAGGCTTTTGCAGTGTCAGAGACTTTGGTTGGTAAAACTTTTGACAGTTGGATTATTTTTAACACAGACCTTCGTATGTCAGCAAATACTTTTTTTTCTAAATTTTTCGTTACCAAGAACAATGTGGTTTATGCTGAAGTCTGATTATTTAGTACTGCAAGAGGTCCTCTCCTGGCTCATATCTGACCCAGTAACTCCATCTTTGGCCTGCCCTCTAGTTCTTGACCATCTGCCTCTATTATCTAGTTTTTACCTTTATTTTAGATTCATTCTTTCCTTTGCCTTTATCAGATAAAACAAAAGTGCAGAATAGTGAAGGCTAAATAGTCAGAGAGGAAGGGAGGGAGGGTGGGAGAAAAGGAAGGAAGGAGGGAAGGGAGGGAGGAAGGAGAAGGAAGGAAGAAAAAGGGCTGGGTAGGGGAGGAGAGGAGGAAGGAAGTAAAAGAAAGGAAAAGAAGGAAGGAAGGAAAGAAGGGAGAAGGAAGGAAGAGGAAGGAAGAAAAAAGAGGAAGGGAGGGGAGGGAAGGAAGAAAAAAAAGAGAAAGAAAAGGAGGGACGGGGAAGGGGAGGGAGGGAGGAAGAAAGTGAAAAGAAAAAAGAAAAGATAAAAGAAAATGCTGAAAAGTGGGGAGATTTACATAGTGGGCAAAACAAATAAGGATAGAGGATATGACCAAAGGAATGTGCATGACCAGCGTTAATGGAAAACCCCTCTCTTTTGACAGTTTTATTGCTTTAGGAGAGCAACCCAGTGGTTGCTCGTTTCTAATATCTTACTCTATAAATAGCAGCTCCTAAATACTCTAGCAGTAAACTTTGGTTCATTTCTCTTGTGTGCTAATAAGCATATTATTCTCATGCCAACAGATAGGATTTTCTAGCATATATGTTTCTGAAAGAAAAAAAAAAACTACTCATCTTGTGAAAATATAACCCATAAATTTGGAGTTTGAATTGGCTGCATATTGCACAGTCTATGCTATACCCACTTCATTTTAATTATTCTCCTTTACAAGTAGAGATAGTAGTCTATGAATGCATTATTAATGTAGAATATTTCCTTTGTTTTTACAGGCTTCACCAGAGGCCATATTGAATTCAAAGTTCTGGGTTATTTCTGAGTCAGAAACCTCATACATTTGGATAAAAACCAAACTTCCAACATTTAATCTTAACTTAGCAGGATATTTTATACACATTAAATTTTATTCAAAAAGGTCTTAGCTATTTAAAATCTTTCTTAATACTCACATACATAAAGGCTAAATGTTAAAGGATCATTGTCAGTCATTCTGCTGAAAATCATTATTAATGATTCATACCTTCTGTCCTGATTGTGTTTAGGGAGTAAAGATGTTTGTTTTGTCTATGGCCAAGAATTCTCTTCTTGAGGAAAAAGTACAATGCTTAAAAATTAAAGCCCATGGTTATTCTAGATGTGCCATATTATCTAAAAGCAAGTGTTTACTGACCTCCTCACAGGTTTATGGACTCACAGAAAAGTAAGATTTTCTTCCAAAACAAATTCATTCTAACATCCAAGAGTAAGACATAACATGAGATCAGAAAAATCACAATCACTGAGAATTACAGCAGGGAGAACCCTTTCATTATCATCAAGCCCTTCACTATCATGTTATAAATGTGGGAATTGTGCCCCAGAGTGATCCAAGTGATTTCTTTGGGTCTAGTGTGTAGTCTCCAATCTGGAAGTCTTGACTTTTAGTTCAGGCCTCCATCCTCAGTGGACTCCTTACTCCTCCTCTACAGTGAGCACTTGTCTTCAGTTTTATGAGCCTGCCATCACTCTCATCACCTTCCAGTTCATTGTCCATGATCCGTCCAGAGGGGTCTTTTAAAAACTTAAACCTGATTCCCTGCCTCTTCTGCTTAAAATTGCCCTCTTTATACCTACAAGTTGAAGTCCAAGATCATTCGCATGTTATTCAAGATTGTGTGTTATTTAGCACATATTTGCTGCAATGGTCTCCCTCATCACACTCAAGACTTTTTCAAACATTCCAGTAGTTCCTAGCAGTGGACTTTGTACCCACATCACCCCCCTGCCTCCCAAAAAAGAAGCCCACAGAGACTTGAGACTCAAGTCTGTGCACATTTGTGTGCACTCTTTCCTGTGCTAGGAATACCTCACCACCATCACCTCCCTCTGTTTCAGGTTGACTAACTTCTGATGGTCTTTCAAATACTTGGTTAAGTACTATTTTTTCTGCCAGCTCTTCTCTCACTTTCCCATCATCATAAGTATATGTTCTACTTACTTCCTCTGAGGATCACATGGGCCTTTTCCACAGTCTTGTCATTTAGACCATGAATTTCTTGGTGCGAGGAAAGTATCTTTATGTCCTCAGTACCTCAAAATGTTAGCTTGTGGGTTTATTCACAGTTAGAATTGCTATCATTTGGTCCAAATTGAAAGCTTTATGATTCTCAGACTTAGGACAGAATAGGTAATTACAGCAAGTAAAGTTGTAGTGGACAACTGTCAGAAGGTTCTGTTGGCATGGGAAGTAGTTGGGGAGACTGAGTCTTCTTCCCTAATATGATATCCATTCTTTTTTAAGGCAGTAAGATAAGGAAAGGCCGAATGCAAAATGTTAGAGCTGGAAGGGATTTGAGTTCATTCCCCTGTTTTGAGAAGCAGATATGAAGTGCCAGAGAATCTTACCTGCATGATAGGATGGTCAGTGGCAGAGCGTGGTCCAGAACCCAGTTATCTTCCTTACCAATCCATATAAAATTCCTACTTCACTGGTCAGGCTACAGAGATAGTTCTGACCTAGTAAGTCATGTCACCACCTAGGAAGATTCTCCTGCTTTGATTTCGAACTACTCAATACTTTAAAAAATAGCTTCGGGCTGAGAGAAAGCCATTGACTCTCTCTTTCATGTTTATTCCGCTGGCATGTTCTCATGAAATGACCTCCTCTTTTCCTCTTACTCCCCTTCCCTGCCTCAAAAAATGAAACTTCCGTCTGACATATGGAAGGGTGCCAACATCAGCCAGTGCATATATTAAAGTTTTAAATCAATTATTGTTCTAGTACACACCCTGGGGTTGAGAAAGAAAGAACATCCAGGACTAACAAACCTGATTGTTCTGGCAAAGTTGCCATTCAATTCATGCTGGCATTTCTGGGCTTTTCTTTTTCTTTAATATTCTAACCTCATATTTTTTTTTTATAAAAAGGTAATAGCTCAAGGAACAATTTTTAACATGACTATTTCATTCAATTTCTCCATGAGACTTATACCTCTTAATCTCTTGAGGGTTTCCCAGAGGGCACTATGCCCAGAGTTTGTTTATTATTTAATTGTAGAGACAGCTGTCAGTCTGATAGTGAGTTCATTAGACTGTGGACTGTTCCTCACTTTATTATCTTCTAAGGGAGGGAGAGACTCGGGCTCGGGACCATTAGTACTTCACAACTTGGCATTCTTAGATTGAGAAAAAGACTTAATCATAACATTTAAGAAGCCAAATTACAGCTGTGTATAACATAGATAGTTTTAACAACTGCTCTGAGTTGGATCTATATAAGTATTCTGATTAATACTGCTTTAAAATTCCTATTAAAGTATGATGCATTTTTTTTTCCTAGGCAAGTACTGGAAGTCAGTAAGGATGGTGGCTATGCCAAGGGGTTGTGCTTTGGCTGGGACTCAGTTGCAGGAGGAGACCGAGACTGTTTCTGCCCTGGCCTCCCTGACGGTAGATGTAGAACAGCCCTTTGCTTCAGAAGATAGCAGGTATGGATCCAACATGGGGGAGTCATTAAGGTCAGTAACATCCAGGCTCATCATTAGCATTTGTGAACCTCTCTCCAGGCTTTCCTTCACCTGTCTTCTCCACTTCCACCACTTGTCTTCTTCAAAGCCACAGATTCCACAGCAAATGCTGTAGGCCACCAAGAATTCATTTGTTTCATTCTTCATGGGAAACACAGAGCTGGAGCTGTGGTTGCAGTTCACAGAGAATTAGAGTGGATGAGATACATGGTGAGAGAAATCACTCCTCATTGGCTAATTTAAATGCAGATCATTGTGGAAAAGAGCTACTTGTGTGCTTTACTTCTTTCCTTAGTTCTCTCTATTTTTCCAGATAATCTTTTTCCTTCTATCATCATTTCAAAATTACTGCTATAACAAAGTGGAAAAAGGAGAGAGGAAGCTGAAAGTATTATTAGTCAGTTGGATAACCTAAATACATACAGGCTCTTTCTGTGACTGCCCTTTCAGTCCAAGGACTGGGTAAAGATAGAAGGTGCCTCCAACGGAGACAGGAGTTTGTATAAAGGAATGTATGGACTCTTGAGTCTGATTTTATTCCACTTTCTGATAAGAAGTTGATTCCAATTAGTCTTCATATGAATATAGCATTCAGGAAAAGAAAAATAATATTAACCTAAGATTGGGTTTGCTTGTTCTCCTTTAAGAAATATTTGTCACTTTGTGCATTTTGGTGTTCATCATCCTATCATACAGACAATGCTACATTTAGGATTTTTTTTCAGTCTGCTACAATCATGTCCATCACAAATGTACATATATATATAAACATTGGTGCTTTCTCTGGCTGTCTTCAAAGTCACATTTTCTCAATTTAAAAATGAATCAGGTAGGCTTTACTGAAGTTCGCCAGCTTGCACTTCTAAATTGCTCTGAGAAGGAAATCATATTCCCTCTGTCAATAACATCACCATTAATTACACAGATCCTGCTACCTAGTACTTAGTTGGCAATTTTCCCAAGAATGCACAATTTAAACAGTTTTAGCTTTTACTGGATATCCAGAGTTTAATGGATTTAACATCTTGCTTTGGTCAACAGCAGGAGATGCATTGAATAAGAGATTTCATTTTTAAGCAAGTATTTTTTTCTTACTATAACCACTTAAAGACCAGATTACCTATAGAAAAAAAATAGTTGTACAGTATTTTATTAGAAAACATCTTCATGTGGGCATGTGGAACATAAAGGAAAACTTATTTTACATCTTTGATAATATGAACTAACCCCCTGCCGTTCCCAGCTAAGAACCAAACCAAGTTCATAATCCAAAGGTGTTGCAATTATTCCCAAAGCCAAATGCAGTTAGTTGTCCGTCATCTGAGGGCTATAAAACTGAGGAAACTAACATCTGTTAGTGCTGGATATAAAAGGAGTATATCTATTATTTAGAATTCATTTAATATAGAGAAATGAAACTAAATTCCAACCTGAGTGAAATGAGTTATAAATAATTTTGCTTAGAATAATTAAGAATAATAAATTCTGTTATACACCCCAAGTAATATAAAAATCTCAGCACTTTGGCAGGAATTAGCTCTATAAGCATGCTTGCATATCATCAGGTAAAAGGTGTATTTGACTTCTGATAATCTGCAGGGACTTAACCCCAGCTTCAGTTCACAGTGATTATTTATTTATCTATCTATTTTTTTGGTTCACAGTGATTTTTAAGCTTCCTTTGGTGGCAAAGAATAGGAATGTGAATGTTTTGATGTGTAGGGAAACAGAGTTGATGCTTATGACCTGGATTCATATTTGTTTATCAGTATTAGACACATTATATCTGTTTTGATTGATTTTTTTCTTAGAGAAAGAAAAATAGTTTTGTTTGAATTATTTTCTATGGCTTTGCACTCACTTTTTCAGCAGATGAAAAGAAAAATTCTTCTAAAATTTGACTTTTGCATGTCTATTGAACCATGCATGAATTTCATCAGAGAGAGTCAGAGACAGAGAAACCTTGAAAGCCACAGAACATTAATTCTTTCCAGAGGCATGCTATCCAAATTGTCCCCCTACTCAATACAGGAAAGACTTTCAGAATGAGATAAAGAGGTGGAAATGTGCTTGGGCCTTTGTTATGAATGTAATATTGTAAGTACACAGGAAATTTAAAAATTAGAAAAATCAGAAAACTAAATGGATGGAAAAGAGTGAAGGCAAGATTCTTTTTATAGGAAATTCTTGCCAATTATTTTGGAGGATATATTGGTGCTTGGAGTGAGATGACTCATTTTGTACTAAGATTTTGGGTAAAGCAGCTCTTTTCCTGGCCAACTCATATCTGACTCATTTACCACTAGTGAATAAGGGATAAAATGCTCCTGGCTAAGAACCATTGTAAGTATTTTTTGTTCATTTTTCTTGGGGGGGGTGGTGGCAAGAGGGAGATGACAACACAGTGAAAACAGTCATTTCATTTTTATAACTTATTGATGGAACATGAAGAGTAAATTGGTTGAAAAAGGCTGATATGTGGGGATGCATTGGGGGGATGATTAATTGAAAAACAGTTTCAAAACATACTTATCAGGTGGCAAAGACTTGGGCAAGAAAGAAAAAATTAGTGGATCAGAAAAAAAAAAGACAAAAAAATTAAATGGGGTCCATTTATATGTTCAAAGAATATTTAAACAGATAGACCTGATCACATATAGCATATATATTTATGCTTAGAAGCATTTAGCTTCTAAATGACCTAAAGTCATTTTTTTTTTAGGTTTAGATTTTTTCTTGTTTAGTGGGAGACTGCACCTTTAAAAGATTATAGCTTACATTGGTTGGATATCTGTTTCAAATGCTTCTACTTTGAAAAGGGCAGTGCAGTATTTAGGTTTATTCTTGAATACTAGTTCAGGCTCTGCTGAAAATCAAGGAAAAAAAAAATCAGAACTTCAGGACAATCAAATATTATGTTATTGGGAACACATATATACTCTAGAAATCCTGTCTCTTTATCTATCTCTCTCTCTTTTTTTAAACCAAAATGAAAACTTAAAGTTACACTTTTCAAATGTCAGTTGGACCTATTGATTATAGTGTGAATCATGTTAGATTTTCTTAGTGCAATCTAGTCTGGTTGTTTGTTTAATCATTTTGTCTTCAAAACTTTTGGCAACTTTTCTCACGAATGAGATGGTTTCATATCATTATATAATACGAAAGCATGAGAAAATATATGATTCCAAGTCTAGCTGGCTTTTTTTTTTTTTTGGAGTAACTGTCTTATTCGTGAATATTAAAGAAGTATAATGATATGCTGGAAAATCCCAGGTATCTTCTACCTTAGCTTTTAATGGCCTATAATGTGTGCCAAGGACATTAATAACCACATTTTTCTGTATCTGAAAATGTATATAGAAATATAAACGACTATTAAATACACATTCATGTTAGTATACCTAGAAACACAACTTTGTTTTCCATTCCTTAGAATTGTGTCTCCAAGGCTTCTAAAAGCTAAATATTGTATAAATTATGCAGGTTTCTGATTTTTCTCTATGATCACTTTATTTTGAGCACTTGTTTATCTAACCAGGCAAACATTCCAATACAAACGTTATTCTTAATTTTCATCCATTATCAAGAAAGTCATAGTTGAAAAGTGGGCTAGGTCGCCTAAGATTTGGAGGCTCCTGATAAAAGGAAGGATAATCTGTCCCTTCTTTTCTTCTTTTTCCTCCTCCTTTTGGGACCATCTTTTTATCTCTTTTCAGTGCCTACCATGTGGTCAGGGGATGGGGTCTGTATGAAGTCTGACTTAGTATGATAGGGATTCAATCCAGTGCCCATTTATATATTCAGGGTTCCATTCTGAACTCTTTAAAGAAGTGTTTTATAAGGAAAAAGAAACATATTTGAATAAAACTATAAGTAAAATAAGATGCATGATAACTTTAGCTTCCCATCTTCTCATCTTCATCTCTACTCCTTCACTCTTGTCTTCTTCCCACTACAAAGGAAGAATAGAGTGTGACTCTAGAATCAACTTACAAAGGTTCAAATCCCATCTTCAACTTAATAATTGTGCAATCATGGGCAAGTTACTTGTCTCCATGGGCTTTATTTTCCTTGTCTTTAAAATGAAAGGAGAATTTCCTAAGGTTTTGAGGATGAAATAAAATAGTATGTCTTAACACAACACCTGATACATAGTAAGTACTCAATAAATATTGGTTTTATTATTTTTCCATCATTTTTATTCTTCCACCATTTATTTTTTTTCTCCTTAAATACATAGCTCATCATCCAGTGATCTATATTAGAATATAGAGGCTGTACCTAGGCATCTCACTGTTCAGGGGTTAAATCATTAAAACAATCATTAATAACAAGAGATTGACAAATAATCTCTAAGCAATAAATTGATTGAGTTAATTAATCTGCAATTAACTGGCTTAACTCAAGACTTTCACAATGCCTAATACACTGTAGGTAGTAAATACTGAATGAATGAATGAATGAATCCAAAAACAGAAGACAAAATATTGTTGAAATGGTAACATAACATTTTATAATGATTACCTGAGCAATTCTTGTCTCTTGATTTACTGTATTTTCTGAGATAATCAGTCTTTTTATATTTTATAAGAGTTTTCAAAATATGTTTTATATTTATTTTCTTTTATAGTACTAATTGACAATATCAACTTTCAGATTACAAGAATCCATAGTACTCATATAATAAATATGGATTGAATGAATAAACATAATAAGGGGGGGCAAAGTATCTGTCTGAATGGAGAAAGGAATTGTATATAGGGAGGGAGAAAAACTTGGCAGTGATGCTGACATTACAGGATTATCCTCCAACCTGCAGAATGAGGAAGGAGAATATCCAGTCCATTCTTTATTTAAACACTTTCTGATTAAAAAGTGTTGAGAGGCAGGGTCACAAAGCTTCCTTGTAGTCCTCAAAATGTTCATATACTGGTTTTCTGTTTCTCTAAAAATTGCTATAAATTTAATGACTTAAAATGACAGAAAGATCAGAAGGCTGGCACAGGTCTCTCTGGGCTAAAATCAAGAGGTTGGCAGGGCTTGGGTCCTTTCCTTGAGACTCTAGGGGAGAATCTGCATCTTTGTCTTTTCCAGCTTCTAGAGGCTGCCTGCATTCCTTGGCTCATGACCCCCTTCCTCTGTCTTCAAAGCCAGCAACTTTATATCCTGCTGACCTTTCTTCACTTACCATGTCTCTCTCTGACTGAAGGAAAAAAGCTGGGCAAGCTGGCTGACAAGCTGGGAAAGATTCCCTGCTTTTAATGACTCGTGATTAGATTAGCTCCGCTAGGATGATTTAGCATAATTTCTTCATCTCAAGGCACTTAACTTTAATCACATCTACAATGTCAGTTTTGCCATGCAAAACTTCCAGGGAATAGAACATAGACATTGTTGGGAGCTATTATTCTTCCTACCGCAAGAGTAGACATGAACAACCAGCTATAACAAGTGACAAGTAATTTGCTATATTGAGCTTTAGAATATAAGAAGACCTATCATGGGCCTAGAAAAGCAGAACAATTCACAGAGTAGGACAACAGAGCCAGGGTAGAAAAATATATAGAATTTCACCTAGTAAACAAGAGTAAAAGTATCTGAGATAGAGACAATAGCTTGAGCAATCCTTCTGTTTTTGTAAACTTCTACTGACAGCAGGTCCAAAGTACCTTCTTTGCTTATCCAAACTCTTAGAGTAGTAGTTTTCTCACCAGTTCCTGTATCTACTTTTGCCTTCTTACCAATCCATTTTCTACACAGGCAATCAGAGAGCTCTTAAAAACAAAACAAAACAACTGGACAGCAAATCCTGTCATGCCTTTGCTTGAAAACCTTTAGTGCCTTTCCATTTCCATTAGCATAAAGATCATCATTCTCAACAGGACCCATAAGCCCTCCATGATCAAACCCTTCCCTTGATTTTGTACGTTATATCTGAAATCTTTCCTCTTTGTTTTCTGATCTGTGTTCCAACACTGAACTTGTTTCCTTTCTTTTTTTCAAATTGGGGTATACCTTACATATAATAGTATGCACAAACCAAAAGATTTTTTACCTATTCCATACTCAAATGAACATCACCCAGAACAAGATCAAAAACATTTCCCTTACCGAGAAAATTTCCTTATGCCTCTTAGTCAATGCTGTTTTCTCCAAAGGTAATTTTTTTTTTCATTTTAACACTGTAGATTAGTTCTGCCAAACTTTAAATTTCATTTAAAGGAATTGGAAGTTCATACAGCTTTTCATCTGTCTTCTTTTACTCCACTAAGCTTAATGTTTCTGAGATCTGTCCATCAGTAGTTTGTTCATTTTTATTATTGTGCATTATCCCAGTGTATAAACACACACTAATTTGTTTATCCATGTACCTGTGGATCAGTGTTTGGCTTGTTTCCCCTTGGGGCTATTAATTTTGCTAGGGATTCTTATTGAGACATAATTGATATATAACATTGTATTACTTTCAGGTGTAAAACAATGATTTGATATATGTATATATTTTTAAATAATCACCACAATAACTCTAGTTAACATCCATCAGCACACATAGTTAAGATATTTTTCTTGTCATGAGAACTTTTAAGATGTATTCTCTTAACTTTCGAACAAAAAATGACAGTATTATTAACTGTAGTCACTATTCTGTATATTACAGCTCTAGGACTTACTTATTTTGTAACTGGAAGTTTGTACCTTTTGACAACTTTTACACACTTCACCTACCTCTTACCCCTACCCTCACTTTTGGCAACTACTAGTCTTTTCTCTGTAAGTTCAGGGGTTTGTTTTAGATTCCACAAATAAGTGAGATCATATAGCATTTGTCATTCTCCATCTGACTTATTTCATCTAACATAATACCCTCAAGGTCCATCCAAGTTGTCACAAATGGCAAGATTTTCTTCTTTTACTACTTATTTATTTATTTATTTATTTATTTATTTATTTATTTAGAGAAAGGGAGGGTTGGGGGAGGTAGGAGAGGAGGGGCAGAAGGAGGGTGAGAAAGAGAATCTTAAGCAGGCTCCATGCTTGGGATGGAGCCCCATGCAAGAATCAGTCTTACGAAAGATGAGATCATGACCTGAGCTGAAATCAAGAATCAAATGCTTAACCAGCTATGCCATTAAGGTGTCCCAATTTTCTTCTTTTTTATGGGTGAATAATACTCCATTGTATCACATTTTTCTTATCCATTCATCACTAATAGATGCTTAGGCTGCTTTTATGTCTTGGCTATTGTAAGTCATGCTGCAGGAGTATAGGGGTACATTTATCTTTTTGAGTTAGTGTTGTCATGTCCTTGGATAAATACCCAGAAGTGAAATTGCTGGATCTTATGGTAGTTCTATTTCTGATTTTTTGAGGAACCTCCATACTGTTTTTCATAGTGGCTGCACCAGTTTACAACACACCAACAGTGCACAAGGGTTTTCTTTTCTCCTTGTCTTTGCTGTCACTTGTTATTTCTTGTCTTTTTGGTAATAGCCATTCAAACACATATGAAATAGTGTCATATTGTGGCTTTGATTTGCATTTACCTGGTGATTAGTGATGTAGACACCTTTTCATGTCCTGTCAATCATCTGTATGTCTTATTTAGAAAAATATCTATTCAGATCCTCTGCCATTTAGGGCTACTATGAATAAAACTGTTATGAAAATTTTTTATTATTGTGGTGAAAAGCATGAAACATAATGTTTGCCATCTGAACCATTTTTAAGTGTATAGACCAGAAGTGTTAACTGTATGCCCATTATTGTGCAACATCTCTCTAGACCTTTTTCATCTTGCAAAACTAAAACTCTATATCTATTAAACAACAATTTCTCTTTTCCCCATTCCCCCAGCTTCTGGAAACCACTATTCTACTTTCTGTTTCTAAGAATTTTATTGCTTTAGATACCTCATATTAGTAGAATTATGAAGTATTTGTCTTTCTGTGACTGGCTTACCTCACTTAGCATAATGTTGTAAAAATTCATCCATATTGTAGCATATGACATGATTCCGTCCTTTTTAGAATTGAATAATATTCCATTGTAGGTATATGCCACATTTTCTTTATCATTCATCTATTAATGGACATTTAGGTTGCCTCCACCTCTTGGATACTGCGAATAATGCTTCAATGAATAGGAGTGTGCAATTATCTCTTCAAGATCCTGTTTTCAATTCTTTTGGATATATACCCAGAACTGGAATTGCTGGATCATATGGTAATTATATTTTTAATTTTTTGAGGAACCTAAGTCTCTGTGAAATTTTTGTTCAGGTTTTTATTTTGTGAACACAAGCACTCAGTTTTCTTTGATATATACCTGGGAGTGAAATCACCAAGCTACAGGGAAGCCATGTGTTTTACTTTGTAAGAAACTTCCAAACTGCTTTCCAAAATGATTGTGCCTCTTTCATTCCCACCAGCAATGAATGACTATTCCAGTTGCTTTATGTCCTCACCTATACTTTATAAAATCAGTCTTAAAAAATTTAGCCTTTCTAGTGGGTGTGTAATGGTGTCTTCTTGTGGTTTTTAACATTTTTTCCAAAGACCCATATTCATGTTCACATCATGCCTCTTGGCACATACCCTCCCCTCTGTTTGGAATACTTATCTTCCTTTACCTCCCACTGACCCTGTGCTAGCCTCTCCGTTTTCTTCCACTTATCCTTTAGGTCTCAGATCAAATATCACTTCCTCTTCTTGGTTAATGTTCACTGACCATCAATCCCAAAATTAGATCAGATACCCCTGTTATATTTTCTGTGTCTCCTCTATACTTGTAATACCTAGAACAGAGCCAGGGTGTATAACAGACACTCAGTCTATTATTGTTTGAGTCAGTGAAAAATTGAGTAATTGAATGTCAGAACCAGTAGATATGTGGAACTTTGGAGGCTATGGGAAGGTAAAACTATGACAGCCATTCTGGAAAGCAATTTAGTACGATTTACTGTACACAAAACATATGACCTAGTAATCCTGCCCCTGTGCTATATGTATATACTGAAGACTTTCTCATCTAGGGTCATTAAAGTACATGTACTAGGTTGTTCACTATAGCTTTATTCATGGTGGGTAGAGAGAGGGAGTCAAACCTGGGATCCATTATTGAGAGAGTGAGTAGTTAAAACGTGGCAGATGTATACCGTGGAGATGCCATGTAGTTCTTAACAGGTACAGACTAGATAAACATAACTGTGTTGAAAGATTTAATAAATACAATACTGAGTGAGAAAATTAAGCAGCAGAAATTATATATGTGTATTAAAATAGAATTTACATAAAATAAAAATATATGCCCACAAAACAATAATATAAAGCTCTGAAGAACACCTTACCAACAAAATAATGTACATAGCATTGGATTGCTTGCCTTGAAGGAGGAAGAGAAAGTAAGATATTAAGGAGATTAAACTAAATCAACAAAACAAGAGAAAATATGTCATATTAAATAACATTATTAATATAAAGAAATACTGTTTTAAAAATCATAAGAAATGAAATACACTTAAGGAAATGTACAAGAATTTAAGGAAAATGCAAGAATTTAATTTTATGCTATATCTTTTCTCAAGTTAAATTCTTTCTGCTTTATATTTATAGAAGTTTTCTCAACCTGTGATTGCTGGACTAAACAGATCTTTCTCTTAAATATGTGTAATCTTTGCCCTTTATTGATGAAAAATGATCAGTGTTCACTGTGAAGTTGGCTTGCTCTAATAGAAGTTTATGTCTTCAATTAGCTAAACTATTGAACTAAAATTTATCTTTGGAGGTTTTATTTTATATGTATTCTTTTTTTTTAAGATTTTATTTATTTATTTGACAGACAGAGATCACAAGTAGGCAGAGAGGCAGGCAGAAAGAGAGGAGGAAGCAGGCTCCCTGTCGGGCAGAGAGCCTGATGTGGGGCTCGATCCCAGGACCCTCAGATCATGACCTGAGTCAAAGGCAGAGGCTTTAACCCACTGAGCCACCCAGGCACCCCTATTTTATATGTGTTCTTGACCTTACTGTATCTCCATCTTACCTAATTACAAAAGAAATTAAATTCAAAACTGTGAAAATTGCATCTCTTCCCTTTCCCCATGTCTTTCCACAACTCTGTTTTTGTTAATCAAGGTAAGTTTGGTGTGTGTACATAGATGATGGAAGTGGGAAGCCCCCACATTTCCAGAGCATTGCTTCTCGGTCTTTAACCAAAACAACCATTAAAAGGTCATTCCTCACCAGTTGACTTTCTAAGTGTTTCATGAAGAAGATTTCCTTAAAAAATGATCTTTTTAAAGAAATATGTAGACATATAAAATAGTTACATAAGGATAGGAATTCAATAAAGACAGTACACCTCCACTGAATGCTATGATACTATAAATCATCACAATGGCAGATATAAATAATACAATTCTTCTATAGTTGTTCAACACTTTACAGTATATAAAGCATGTTCTCTTAAATTACCTCATTCAATTAAGCCTAAGAGCAAGTAAGGGACTATTTCAACTTTTAAAGAGAAAATTGAGAATCTAGAAGTGTGGACTTGCTCAAAGTTAAATTTTAAAAATTGACAGAGCTGGGACTTAAATGCAGAGCATACCTTGAAATCCAGGAGTTTCTCCAACCTGCTCTGCTACTAACACTATTTCTATGCAGCAAGACACCGAGAGAATTGGTCAGTTATGTGGATGTGTATTTGATTCAGTAGAAGGTGGGGATTATAAGTGGACTATTTTCAAAACCGTGGTCAGTATGAAATGATTTTGAAGGGAGAAAAAGAAAGAGAAGCATCCGATGCAAAGTTTTATATTGTACCTGAAAGTCCCCGTGTTTCTACAGAAGAGGATCCATTTTGCCAGTAAGTGTGGGCTGCACAGTAGATACCCTGCTCATGTCCTCAGAGCCCAGGCTGGTCAGGTATACATCTGGAGAATGCACAGATCCTTCACCAAGGGTAGATATTTATTACGTACGTCTCTGACCCCTGGACATTTTTCCTATACACTATTTTCTCTGCAATTCCAGCCACAACTGAGTCCTAGGTATAGGGGAAAAGACAGTCTGTTGTCTTTTGCTTTGGTTTAGAAATAGTGAAATGCAAGCCAGGAGAGTGATGTCACTAAGATGGGAGAGCAGAGACCTGAGCTTTAGTCTCCCAACAAAGATCAATAATTGGACATCTCTCAGTGCAAAAATAGAGCTCTGGGAGAGCTCAGAAGTCCACTCAAGAAACTTTAGCAACAGAGTGGAACAAAACAACAGAGTGGAAAACAAACAACAGAATAACGGCCCAAAAAGGGAAGGAAGAATGGTTTCATTTTGCTTGAGTCGTCCCATCCTCCTGACTCCTACTACTCAGCACCAAGAGGGCCTGAGCTAGAAAGAGTTCTTCTTGCTGGGAAGGAAAGAGCAGAGTGAGTGACCAGCATCCCCAGCCTTTTGGGACACTGCAGGAAAAAAAAAAAACACTTCAGTTTCACCCACCCAGTGAATTGGCAAAATGGAGATATATAGAGATGGCTAGGAACAAGGAAGAAGGGTGAGGGCTACCAGTACCAGATATGCAATGGGAGTGATCATGGTTTCTAGTGACATGTTCTGCAAGGACCCCAGCAGCTTTCACCAATGAAGAAACCAATGTCCAAAACAGCTGTTTCAGACCCCTGCAGATTTTACCACTGAGGATTTCCCCCCACAGGTTTTCAACATGTTCACCAGTTATCCAGGTCTTTCCCTCTTTTCTCCCTCTGCCACCCATGACTCTGCAGCCTGGGATTTATACCAGCAGCCCATTCCAGCTTCTGTGGCTACACCAGTGCAAGATGCCAACCTTGACCCTGCCACTGACCCACCACCATGCACACACTCAGGGCTAGCCCTTCCTGCTATGCACCTGCATATGCTGGCTGGACTCCCATCACCAGCCTCCACTGCCATGAATATGGCAAGACTTTTCAGCCATAGGAGTCCATACTGACAGTCAAGACCCCCACAATTGCCAGCAGACTGGATTCAGCCCTGCTTTCTGTCACTGCCTGATCTGCTGAGCCCACATGCAGCTAGCCCTTCCAACTGTACACCTGCACACCTTTGGCCAACTCACATCTCTAGCATCAATGCCATGCCCATATCCGTGTTGAGACCCTTCAGCCATAGGAGTATACTCCAAAAATCGAAGCCCACACCTACCCTGACTCCTATGACTAGCCTGCACCATTGAGCTCAACTGCATCTGCCCCTCCACCTATGTACCTGCACCCCACCAGCCAGAGTCCCAGCACTGGTTTCCAGTGCTGTGCACCTTGGGAAGGCTTGCAGTCACAGGAGTTGGTGCCAAGACCCAGTGCCCTTGCAGCCAAGTGTGTGCACCACCAACTCTAGCCACCACAGTGGCCCGTCCTGGTCCCTAGGTGCTGTACTTGAAGAAGACACTGAGGACTCCACTGTCCCTTGCAGTCACTCTAGCATCTCCCCACCTGCCCTGCCATCATAGTGCTCACCAAAGACAACACAGCTGTCATTGTTGTGGACCTGAGGTGCCTGAGCCAACCAAATACTGTGCCTTCCTGCCCCAGATACAGAGCCACAGGGATCGCCACCAAAGGAACAGAGTAGACTTTTAGTAACTGACCCAAGGAAATGAAGATACATGAATTGCCTGAAAAAGAATTAGAAATAATTGTTATAAAGGTGCTCAGAGAGTTATAAGAGAACACAAACAATTCAACAAAAATCAGGAAAACAATAAAAAAAAAACAAAATGAGAAGTTCAACAGAGACAGAAAACAGTAAATAGTCAAAGTTTGGAGCTGAAGAATACAATAATTGAATCAAAGAATTCAGTACAGAGCTCAATATCAGACTGAACCAAATAAAAAGGAATCAATAAAGTCAAAGACAGATAATTTGAAATTATTCTGTCAGAGGGGCAAAAAGTAAAAAGTGAATTAAAAGGAATGAAGAAACCCCTTAAGGGATTTATGGGACATCATTAAGACAATCTGTGAATTATTGGAGTCTCAGAAGGAGAAGGTGACAGAAAATTTATTTAAAGTAATAGTGGCTGTACTTCTCAACCCTGAGGAAAGATTTAGATACCCAAGTTTATGAAGCTAATAGGTCAGCCCAAAATTCCAATCCAAAATGATGTTAATAAAATAATAAAACTTTCTAAATCAAAGACAAAGAGAGAAATTTAAGTGTCAAGAGTGTCAAGAG